GTGGAAGAAAGCCAGACATTAATAACAAGTATGAATTAATGTAGCGAGGTGTATTAACACCAATATTGACAATAACTGATATTTGTGAGTGAAATTATTGACACTACCAAGATAAAGTTGGTGGTGTTTGTTTAAATATGATAGACCATGTTCTGATTTAAGTTTGTCTAAAAATCTCAGATGTACAGCACTGCTATAACTTGATCTCTGAATAATCAGATTTTTTTTAAAATATATTTATCACAATTAGCCCCTTACATCTTTTAATGATAAACTCTGTTTCTGCTTTATCTTCAAAGACTTTTATTCAAAGACACGAGTTAATACAAAGTGTCTGGAAGTTAGTTAACTTTGAAGCCTCAAAGTGAGCTTCATTAGAAGGATACAGGATATGCACTAATATTCAGTCTTATGTGTGATTCGCAGCTTTACAATCAATAAACAGAACTGGTGTGCATGTGGAGACGTTTTATGGCTTCATTTTCATCTGTTCAGAGAGAGGAAACGATCTAAATGAAGCCACATTAATCAGAACATACACTTCTCATGTTATTTCATAATTGTTGTTTCACTCTTCAGCTTAGTTTTCTGTTTTCTTCATGTTTCTATCCAAACACTTTGGCTTCTCTTTCTACTTGATCATCAAGCAATGTATTTTCATCTTTGCGGATTTTTTACTGTTGTTAATCTGTTGCTCCATGAACATGTCAGTTCTTCCAGAGCCTCTGATGTCGAGTCTTGCCATGTTGCATGGTGGTGTGAGAGGGATCCTGGGTAAGTGTCGGTGTCGTTTCTTTTCCACGGCTGAAGGCCACGAGGAGGAAGATGAATGGGGAAGATGAGCAGTACATTTGACATTTGGTAGGTTCAGATGGAAGTCAGAGAACGCAGCGTTTATTAATAAGCCTGGCGGTGTTATTCCTCGAGTCAGCTGGAAAAATGTGAAATGATTCTCTGTAATGGTTTTGCTTGTGCACTCAACTTACTTCACCTATTTCATTTCCTCAATTGAACCCATACATTACATTGACCTCATCAGCTACACTCAATTAACTGTTTGTTCAGTCAAATTATCAGGCAGTTAATTTTATTGCCGCTCTCTAACAATATGTATCTTTTTGAAGAACCTGACTGCAGATTATGGTAAAATAGCCCTTTACAGAATATTATTTTTTTGTTAATCGCTGAATACTGTTTACAGGTTTGCATGATTTAATGTGAGAAACACTCATTTTTAAATTGCTTCAGGACCTCCTTTATTCTTTCAAACGCTCTGCTTTTGCTAGTTTCTCAGACCCCTGATGTGACAAAAATGAGAGTTATGTCAGCATAGATGCTAACAGGAAGCTTTAGCCACATGTTGTTTCAAACTTCCCTCCGACTCATCATCTAACAGGTTAATATAGCCAAACTAACCGACTGATCCAGATTTTTACTAATGTGTAAGGGTTGTAAAAAGACTGTTAGCATTGAAGTGTGTTATAAAATGAAAGTAAATACTGTTATGCATTATTCTTATTATTATTCGATTTCATATTTCAAACAACTGTTGAAACTAACATGACAAAGGGACAAAATGCTCAATTCGTATTTTTAAAATGAAACAAAACTTCCAGAGGCGGCTTTTTTATACTGACTAAGACGTATGACATAAAAAATAGGTGCAACATGGTCTGAAGACATCTGTAAAATGTTATTAAATGCTCTATGTTCATGGATGTACACTGTATATGAACATGATGCTAGTTTGAAAGCTTTGTTAAGCTCAGTTTTTCAGGATGTTTGGGTGATGAGTTTCTTGATAAAAGGCATAAAACTAAAATACATAAACGTATTTGTATAGAATTCATGTAAGTGAGATACTTGGTGTGATTTTAAATTAACCACCTACATCTGTTTGTTGCTGTACATTCAAACTGGGCAAAGTTTGGTCGAATTTACAGACATCTGCTACCAACTTATGGTTAATGTTAGCAGACTGCCACATAAAACTGTTGTTGCTGTGCTTGTTTATCCTCTGAGAGGTTACTTGTTTGACAGACCTGAACTTGATTAGCTCGCTTTCTATTAACAGTCACCTTGATGGGAGCGACACAATTCCTCCCAAATTTGCGCTCAAAACAGTGTAATGTAGCAGAAGCTGTAAATGTCAACACAGCTTCTGTTGTTCTCAGGCAGGAAAGGGGCAGAAGAAAGGACCTCTGTGTTTGGTGAAATATGGAAAGTAATTTGCAGTGGCCTTTTGACTTCGCACATTATAGACATGGCAGGTTTGCACAAGATCTAGATCACAGATGACCTGCACAATTTTCATAAATTACTCTAGGTCACCACGTAATGCTGGTCCCAGGTGAATACGACTGTAGTTTTTTTTTTTTTTAAAAATGTGCACATGTACTCAAAGCAGACAAAAGCATTTCTCATTCTATCAAAAATGAGATTTTGAGAAAATAGCTTCTCATTATGTCTCCGTCAATCCAGTAATTGATTAATCAGTTGATGATTTCAGCCTTAAACTACGGTTCCCCCAGCACCGTCTGCACTCAGAAAATACTGTATTTGCTCAACCACTCAGGTACAAAAACCTCAAAGGCACCAGTGGCACTCTTATCCAATTTTTTCTGTACAGTATTGATACCTTGACCTCAGGTACCTGCTTATGTATCAGCACAGGGTTAGGGTTAGGGGGTTAGGGTTGTAAATCAAAAAACTGTTACTGGTCACTGTGAGGAAGAGACTGGGAAGTTTTGCTTTCTAACTGTGTAAAAAATTATATGACCAACAAATACAGCCAATAGAAGAACTAAATTCTTATTCTATAGTAAAATAATAAATGACACACATCTCAAAATCTAATCATTCATCCAAGTGTGGTCGTCTATTTGCATTTGCATGCTTACAGCTCAGTGTGAGAGGCTTACCTCCTGTTACGCCTTCGTTAGTAGCATTGTAAGAATTTTTCGCTCGCCTTGACCACAGTGTACTGTTCAGTTTATAACTGTTGTCATGTCTACGATACTCATTCCAGCGGTTATTAGTCAAAATTGGACTTCTATCTGTTAGATACTGATCTCACAATAGCAGCATGATAAAGAGTAAAAATACTACACTCTAAAAAGTGCCACAGAAAGGGCCATAAAAATCAATAAAAGTAAATATTAGTTAAAAACAGAAAAGACTTACATACGTATCAAATCAAGTCCCTAATTCGTGATTTTGTCATTTTTACTTACAGTAACCTTACCTATTTAAAACTGCTTTGCTTAGACCTCTTCTGCTTTCTCAGAAGGGGTCGCCACAGCAGGTAGTCCCACATGTCTGATTTCCCATCGTCAGCGATGTTTAATATAAAATCTGGAGTAAACGGTGCATATTTATTACTAGGGAACATTTGTGTATTTCTTTTTTGCTGAGAGAAGTTCAGGAAACAATCTAGCAGTTCACATTATTTTATTATCAGGCAGTTAAAGATTCGGCTTGCATAGCCGTGGACTTCAGGCTGTGGACGCCAGGCAGTCTGCACACAGAGAAGTGAAGTACAACTGATAATCAATCCATCCATCCATTCGCTTCCGCTTATCCTTTCCAGGGTTGCAGGGGGGCGCTGATAATTTAAAATATATATTAGACATATGGAAACAGGAAATATTTGTGATTGGCTATTGATGGTTTAGATTCAACGCTCCCTGATTTGTTCTCCTCGGGGTCCTTCTGCATGGTAACAGTCTTTGACAGGGATCAGGGATCTTGTCCTGTGTGAGAAAATTCCTCCCTACCTTACAGTTGTTACCAAGGATGTTTTATTTCCACGCTGATGTCAGCTTTAACTGACACAACAAAGTTTCTATTTCTTGTTGACTAGAGCACCCTGTTGTCATACACCCAAGGCCAAGCAACCTGTCCTGTCTGAAACTGTATTGTGTAAGCGAATAGTAATTTACCTTCAACACATAACTACTGTCTATCGCTCTTAGTTAACCCTTCACACGTGCTTATATCCTTCTAATGAGGAGTGTATCAACTCTACGATGAGCATACATTACAATTAATGTTAAAAAGAAACTTTATTTTTAAAACAAAATTATTTCTAACACTTCCATATTCCTTGTGAAGGCTTACATGGTTGCGCTATGAAGACTTTCCCGGCAGAGACACAAATTGACTTTTGCTGCATTTCTGTGGGGAACAGAAGGTAGCCGTGTACAGTAAATACTGTTTGGCGTCTCCGGCAGCCAGTCCTGGCACACTGGAAATGGCAGGCAGGCAACGTCTGGCTTCGACTTGCGATGGAGTGTTTGACCTGACGTTCACAACCTCAAACCACGACCCTCTGCTAAACATAGAGAACCTCAGACCAGATGGCATGGCTGGAAACCCGAGCGCTTTGCTTTCGTGTTGGAGATTAGGAGGGATGCTACGCAAGCAGTGGAAGGCGTGACGGACAAAACCACTACTACCATGTTTTGGAGCTCTTTCTCTTTTCTCTTTTTTCCCTCCCGCCTCCGGACAGGCAAACAAAAGTCTGCAGCAGGGGGTCGTTATTTAATAGAGTAGAATTAAAACCGAGACAAAAACAGACACAACACCCACCTCGGCTGGTTTGTCTCAATTCTGTTTTCATGACTGGCTTTTAAATGATCATATTAATCTGCCTAAGTAAAGGTTAAGAAGGTGAAAGAATAATATTTAATTTTATTGGCATGCCTCAGTGACGTGCAGAAAAGTAAAAAACACTGAAATTTTTAACAAAGCAAGAGTAAAACAACCACAACTGGTAGAAGAAACCAGATTTACTGGCCGGGAACCAAACACAACAAGGAGCACTCACATGTGTCATTAGATCTGACTCTGAATTGAAGTGAAGTTGTGGTGTCTTGTGTTTCCTCTTTTAAAATGAAGGGATGTGGGAGGAGTGCAGAGCAGATCGAGTGAGTAAGTTCATCCATCTAATTATATATGCAGCCTTATGGCTTCTGCTGCTACCATGAGGCGGTGATGATGGCAGTGACCGGCATATGATGTCAACAGGAGGGCTTAACCTTATTTATAAGGCTTTGCAAACCTTCAGGAGCAGAAACACTCCGGCAGACGCCGACAAACCTTCCTCTCTCTTCAGAGGAACACCTCTAATGACAAGAGGAGTGAGGAAATTTTGATTTTCTTTACAACTCCTCATTGGATTCGTAATCAGAAGAATCAGAAGAAGACAGGAACTCTAAAACTGGTGAGTACAAAATGCAAAACAATTAATTGCTGTCATATGTGCACAGGAGGACGGAGACGACTTTGAACAGAGTAAAGAAACCAAGATGTTGGGTTTGTGCTTCTGTCTGCAGAGTAGTCCTTCATAGAAAGAAAATTCTGTCTTATCCACCACATTTCTGAACAGCAAATTGAGGACAGGGTTAGAGTTGAAGTTACGTTAATGTCCAAATCTTTGTATAGAACTATAGAATAGCTTTTAATATAAAATAATATAATGCAAAAAATGTATTTATGACTCTTATTTAGAAATGTATTATAAGCTATTATAATCCTGCTCCTACCTGTAAATCTAGACAAATGACCAGGTGGATGTTACATTTATTTGAAAGAGATGGCTCTGATGGCAAATTATCCTGGTCCAAAGAGAACAAAGCATAATAAAAAACAATTAAAATCTGACCCAGAACCAATAACACTGATTATTGCCCCTGAGCCGGTCTGATAGGGTCAAGATTGGGTCTTTAAGAACTGAGAGAACCTGTTTGGACAAAGTTTTGAGTGTGTTGGCATGCTGAGGTGCTGTTTAAAGGACAAAAGACTGTACCGTACTTGGACAGAAATTTGAAACACTTAAATATTAGCATGGTTATTGTGTTTATTGGTGACTTTATTACATCCATGTAGCTTTTTTAAATTTATTTTTCTAAGTACAAAACTGTGACACTGAGCATAGTAGGGACAATGGAGCATGTGTGCTTCATAACAGCTACCAGTCTGAATAGACTAGACAGCTAGTAACTACCAACTATATATGAAGTATAAATGTGGTCTGTGCGAGGAAGAGGTAGTGGTCATTTTGTGTATGAACATCTGTCAGAAATCATAGCTCATAATAAAGCAATATGTGATTTTACAAAACATGGCAGAAAGATAATGCAGGGTTTTGTGTTCATTGAGAAGAAATGCTGTCACCATCAGTTTAAACTATAAAATAGCTGTTAAATACAATGAGGATTTAAAATGATCCACCACTAAAGGAAAGACTGAAGGGAGTGGATTTTTTTTCTACTGTGCTCCGTCACAGTCCCACAGAGACTCGTGTCCTTTCTCATCCTGTGAATCAGAAAAAAAAGAACATTTTTTTAGCTTTTCTCCGAAGAATGACTCCTATCCAATTCTCATGTTATGCTTTTCCTGTCAGATTATTTATGTTTTACTGCACAACACTCCACTGTATGTGAATTCCAGGGAAAACCTGGTTTGCAGCTAAAGGTGACTGGCACATGAGTCAAAGATATATTATTCCACTTCTGAGAAACTTGGAGTTTATTTTCTTACTTATTAACATTTTCAGACTTCCCACCAACCAGTAACCATAGCACACAGGAGAAACTTTTATATTACGACTGCATATTTCTGTTTCTATAAGATCTCTTTTACCAATGATGAAAAGTTTGAATTGCCTATGTGCATGTTTTGTGTTTTGGTGTTTTTCAGCGTGGTATTTCAAATGAAAAGTGAAGAGTCTTCTTTTAAATTATTTAGTTTGACATTATTTTCATACTTAGGTCAAGGACAGAAGAAAAGTAAAAAAAAATAACCTCATCATTTAATTTCTGAAGCGGAGTTTTGAAATCTGAGCGTTGTGCCATCCACCTTGATTACAAAAGTGTGGATGTGATGAGATGGGTTGGTCTGTTTGTAAAAAAGACCATTCATTGGCTAACAATTTGTCATTAGCCAATGAGCATCCTCCATTTTGAAAATCGGTATGACCAAGATCTATAAAATAGATTTTATATTTTGTTCAGTATGATCCAAACTGAGCGACAGTCCTTAAGCTTAGTAAAGTTCTAAGTCAGAGCTCTTTTCCTTATATACTGTACTTTGACAGGACCAGAAGTCTTTTTGCAGTGTTATGACCAACATAAACGTGGAGACTGACTCAAAAGTTTAGAAAAAAAAAACAGGTTATATTTTACTACTGTTAAAATAGTTGGTACCGCAAAGGCCATAAAGAGAAAAACTAGTGTGCCTCTCCAAAGTCAGCCTGAGCTATGTCTTTATCCACGCCTCACCAGGTGTGGTTAACAAGCTTTATAGTTTAAGACAGATAGACAATAATATAACAGAGAAAACCCCAACAATCATCTGCCCCAACCAATTGGGGAGCATACTAGCAACCAACTACAAATGGAGCCACTACTACAAAACTACTACAAAAGCCATTTCTACACAATAATCTCAACAAGAGTGGCTCAGCACCACAAAGTGTTATTTCCATTACTTGGCCAACAGCACTCACAAGTGATCCAACAAAAGTAGCTAGATTATCCACAGCACTAAAGATAACAGCACAAAGCAATCACCTCATTATTTAGCATCCATCAACACTGGTGTACTAGATCTATACACATGGCTACAACTACATACTATATGCTAATTCAACATAAGGCCCACCTGCTTCAGCCATAGGACCATAAATAATGCGTGGTCTCAACCTGATCTCTATTTCCTGCAGAGTTCAGTGCCACTGGTTTACTTTGAGCAACTCCCAAATACACCATCAACAAAAAACTTTACCTACCTACTCCTCAGTAGAGTACCAGGCTCAAGGAAACTTTAAACGAAAACTTGAGAGCAGGCAGCAGACCAGAGATGTAGTCTACCAAACTCTGAAGCATACCCCAGGAAAACCTCCAAACATGATAAACTTAAACAATAAAGGAAAACAACAAACAAGTGCTTTGATGCCTGAAACATATCGACTAATGAGAGTTTGCTCAATCACAGTGAACACTGTAACCATCACTCACCCACTAAAAAAAAAATATTTTTTTTTAATCTTTTCAAAAATATCCAAAATAGAGTCCAAAATATCCTGGATGAGCCCCCATCTTATGTTATGATATAAACATGCCGCAATATAAACATAAGTACTGACATCAAATTTTCAAAAAGCATAGGTTTTATTTTACATTTGCTAAAATAGTTTGTATTGCAAAGAGCATGAAGACAAAAACTGGTGTGCCTCTCCAAAGTCTGTATCAGACATGTCTTTATCAACACCTCAATGATCAATTCAGCCCAGGCAACACCTGCAGACTCTTGCACAGCCACTGCAAAAAGAATAGGGGTTTCAGAGGGGTGTAACAGCAACCACAGCGTTCACCATCTGGTAGAATAGAAAGCAGGTTAAAGGCATTTCTGCACTGGCTTTACGTTTCTGACCTAGAAGCTGTGTCCATTCTTTATGCTCTTTGTGGTTTTTAGTGAGCTTATTATCTCATGTCTCTGTGGTGCTCATGATCGATCACCACACTGCATCACTAATGAGTTTGTTTTAATGAATTCTTGAGGTTTTTTGGGTTGTTGTTTTTTGTTTTCTCACCAAAATTTTACAGTTAGCCTGTTTTCTGTTTTGTGGGGGACGCTCATTCGCTGCTGGATCCTAATGTCTGAGAATTGCCGATAGTGATTCATCCTTCCTGTAATCCAAACTAAATACAAGCAGGTGGTCCTGTTATCATAGACATATTCACAGACAGCACAGTTTGGTACTAAAGACTGCTTTAGAGAGTCAAATACCTTCAGTGTCTCCCTTTAAATGCTAATCTAATCACAAGCCTAAACCCATAAAGACTGTTTAGCAAGTCAAAACTGCTCAAAACCACTTTCTGTCCTCTCCATATTCTAATCCAGTTTGCTGGCAGTGCAGCACTAACCATAATCAGATCTAATTGAGTTTAGGGACTTGATTGCCTTGGTGGGATCCAAGAGTGACACACCAGCAGATTATGCACACCCATGTGGGGACATCTGCAAAATTCACCCTAAGAGCCTGAGAGGCAGACAGCAGGCGCCTTCCCCTGGTCTCTCCATGATGCTGGTGTTCGGAGCTCTATGCTGCTGTAACATTCATCCTGCTGAGAGTTAATGCCAGAGAACTGCAGGAATGACTTCTGCTGAGCGTTGCTCTTCCTCTTCAGTTACTTGTGCTGACGTATGATATCGTTTTTTTAAGTTGCTGGCTCCTGGTGGGAGTTTAGATGACACATCAGTGAAAACAGGCAGTTGGCTTCGATTAATAAAGCCAACTGAGGAACACAGCTCTCTTTGCCTACAACATTACCACTGCAGACTTCGTTCAAGCCTTTCTATCATTCACAGAACCACACAGACTACACCCATGCCATGTATTTTTATAAAACAGCACAACTCTGTAAAAACTATAAGAACTTATCAGTCCCGACACATATGAAACTATCCTGCATAAACTTTACATTAGTGCAGAGAAGTCATTATAAAAATATACACTATGCAAGAATGTAAACAAAACTTCACTTAATGTCTTTAGAATATTTCAGGATCCAGCTGTTACATAATGACAAAGAAAGTGGCAGTCTAGGGGATTATTAAAACCAACTGTGGAGGCTACTCGTGCCCAGTTAAAGAGCTAACGAACAGCAGCAACCCCACGGACATCCAGCGGGCAGGAAAAATAACTGAAAAAGAAGCAATTGCATTTTTTCACAAGGTTTATTCAAAAAAATTTAAAATGTAGATGATATAGAATAAATATTCTACCATCATTTCAATCTGATTAAAATCACTCTGTAGGGGTACTTTATGTAAAAAAAAAAAACATGAGGAAAATTTCAACCTTCAACACAAGGGGGCAGATTTACCCAGTGTGGTTACACAACCCAACTACCTGTATATTCTTCTTTGTACGTTAAAAATTATTTTATTGCTCCTAATTTTCTAGATTGTTTTTCTACAGGTGCATATCATCCAAATATAATAGCAACATAGTAACGCTAATGATAACATTAGCTTGAGACAATCTGTTGAATGGAAATAGTCAAACATATCTATGTAGTTTAAAGTAGTAAAAGAATGTGTTGCTAATTTGAGTCTGTTGCACTTGTTCTTGTGATTTAAGTGTTGCTATCAGTTTGTGGAGAGTGGCTAGCTCTAACAGTGCTAGTCGCAGCAGCCTTCTTTCTTTTTTACGTC